GGCCCGCCTTCTCTGCCCTCGGATTCCTCCACTCCGGAAAGCCCACAGGCCCCGCCAACGCTCTGGAGTTTCTCGGCATCCGCCTCGACACACGCGCCATGGAGGCCTCCCTCCCGCTGGACAAGCTTGAACGCATCCGCGCTTTCTCCCGGTCTGCCCTGGCCTTCCCGTCACTTCGAGGCGTCCTTGCTCTCCCTCCTCGGGCATCTTCATTATGCCGTCTGTATCATTCCCCAAGGTCGTTCTTTTAATTCCAGACTCCTTCCCTCGCCGGCTCCGTCTCCTCCCTCGATGACGCGTCTGCCCGGACGCGGGGCGCTGCTCCGACCTGGCGTTCCGGTCCTGTTGCAGAGCCGCTGGGATGGTGTATCTCTCTTTTTTTTTTACAGTGACATCATCCTGTCTCAGATGCCCCGCGGTTCTTCACGGACGCAGCCCCGTCCGTGGGTTTTGGGGGTTTTCCAGGACCAGTGGCTCGCCGGGCCCCGGCCCGACGCTTTCCCTCGAAGCATCTCCTCCGCGCTCCACGAGATATATCCCGTGACCGGAGCCTGCGTGCTGCGGAACCATACGCGGCATAGGAAAAGGATTTCCGTGACGTGCGACAACCTCGACGCCATTGAAATAATTAACAGAAGTCGTTCATCCTCTCCCCAAATCACACCCTCCTTAGATGCATCACATGGCTCTCAGTCTCGAACAATTTATCATCACTGTTCGTCACGTCCCTCGTCACCTAACTGTATTGCTGACTCTCTCTCTCGCTTTAAATTCCAGGAGTTCTGACGCCTCTGCCCTTCTGCCAATCCATCGCCATGCCAGATCCCCTGCACGGAATCCCTCGCCCCGGCCTAGTCCCTCCGTCTCTTCACTTCTCTCCTCCGCTGCATCCTACATGAAAATGGGCTTCTTACGCATAAGCGAATTCACAAACTCTCACGCCACCTTTAATGCATCCCGAGACACTGCCTTCTCTGACCTGTCATATTATCCCGACTACTTCAACCTCCACCTCAAGCATTCCAAACGCAAAGGCGCTTGCAATATAGTCATAGCTCGGTCTGACTCTTCTCCCTGTCCTTACAGATCCATGATGCATTACACTCGCCTCCGCTCTCGGAAAGGAGATCTCAACGGACCGTTATTTCTTACCCCTGATAACCTCCCTATGTCCCCCAACTGGTTCAGAGCCCAACTCAAGTCCGTACTGCTGCTTTGTAAACTGTCTCCCCATCTCTACACAGCCCACTCCTTCCGGATAGGCGCCGCCACGCGCGCCGCGTCCCTGGGGCTCCCCCATTCCGCCCTCCAGCAGCTGGGCCGCTGGTCATCATCGGCCCTCTCCTCATACATCAGGCCTGACACTTCTACCATCCTGGCAGCCCAGCGGCTTTTGGCACCTCCATAAAACACTCGCTAAACTTCCTGGTGGCGGCAGCAGCTGAGTATCCGCAAGTTTGGTCACAGTAGATAGCGGTCACAGTATATAGTGATAGCGGTCACAGTATATAGCGATAGCGGTCACAGTATATAGCGATAGCGGTCACAGTATATAGCGATAGCGGTCACAGTATATAAGCGATAGCGGTCACAGTATATAGCGATAGCGGTCACAGTATATAGCAAAAAATGGTTAGCGGTCACAGTATATAGCAAAAAATGGTTAGCGCACGATGGTCATCAGCATATAGCGATAGCGGTCACAGTATATAGCGATAGCGGTCACAGTATATAAGCGATAGCGGTCACAGTATATAGCGATAGCGGTCACAGTATATAGCAAAAAATGGTTAGCGGTCACAGTATATAGCAAAAAATGGTTAGCGCACGATGGTCATCAGCATATAGCGATAGCGGTCACAGTATATAGCGATAGCGGTCACAGTATATAGCGATAGCGGTCGCAGTATATAGCGATAGCGGTCACAGTATATAGCGATAGCGGTCTCAGCATAGAGTAGTCTCGACGTCTGTCCCCTCCAAACCAGGCTGCAAAACTCCATCAACTCACAACTTTTTTTGGGGATTGGCACGCTCCATCGCAGAGCCCCTCCGATCTGAAGGCCGCACCGGGGCCTAGGGCGCCAAACCTCCTCACAATAAAATACTCAAAAGCTTCTTGTTTCACGTCTCTCCAAATTGAAATGCAGCCAGCGGAAATTCAATTTGGTAGACGTCAGCCAAAGGTAACCCCTCCAGGCCGGTTCTCATCCCCAGCCTATCGCACTGCAAACGCCCCCTTCCAATCACCGCACCGGCCAGGCAAGCCGCTTAAAAACGGAGAAACTCCCACTCTCGGCCTTCTCGAAGCCTGCAACCAACGCCTCCCCTCCTCCTCCTCTTCACCCTGCCTTCAATCCGCCTTCAATCTGCTTCCCGCTGCCAAATGCCGCCACCAGTGCCTAGGTCCCGGGGGATTGGCACGCTCCATCGCAGAGCCCCTCCGATCTGAAGGCCGCACCGGGGCCTAGGGCGCCAAACCTCCTCCCAATAAAATACTCAAAAGCTTCTTGTTTCACGTCTCTCCAAATTGAATTTTGGTTGTCCTTTATTGGCCCAGTTAACCTGGAAGTTCAGTTCTCAACGTTTATTGTTGCTATGTTTAATTATTTTGATGTTTGTTTTCTAGTTTGTTTTCTAGCACCAGAATCTTCAGACAGTCTTGCCAGACAGAATCAGGCAAGACATTATAAAATCAAGGCCAGGCCAAACAAGAAGGATGTTGCCCAGCTCCTTAACCTTGACAACGTTACAAAGGAGCAGGACAGGCTTGTCAAGATCCTTGAGGCGTATCCCTGCTTTGGAGTTTTGGACCATGTAAGCAAATGTATACATTTTATAGAGAACAGTTTTATCGAGTTTTCAAGAAAATCATGAGGCCTCCACTGTTGGGCAAAGGTTAATACAGAATATAACAATTGGGATAATATATGATATATTATACATAAGATAACAGAAGATGAATGTTTGTTTAATTACTCACTGCAGGAAAACCAACTTATTTTTTAATCGCCCTGGTGAAGGCGTTGCCAAACTTATTCCCATCACCTGTGGCTCCACCCAAGAGGTTGGGAAATGCAAGTGAGGCTTTGCTTCACATCCTTGAGGTAAGAAAACGTAAAGCCATATGGATTTTTAAATAATTTAACCATTCATTACTAAAGATATTTTTCTTTTTGTGTGTGTCAGCCTTCAGACGACCCCAACACCTTTCTACAAGCAAGAACACTCTCCAGCCCAGTCGTAGTTGTCTGTTAAACCAACTGCATACTGGCTATTGGGTCCATGCCTGTGTTGACTTTCCCAAAAGAGGATATTGATGCCAGCGTAATGTATTTTTGTTTTCTTTTTGTCTTTTGCCTTAAATGTCGTTTTTAGGTGGCTCTTGTAGTTGCGCTGTGTTTGAGTGCGTTAACAAAGTAATCTGACGAGTTTTTACATATATTACCATTTCCAGTCACAGTACAGTCAGTAAAGGAAAAAAACTATTTGGTTTTACCTAGCTTTATTTGCATCAGACAGCAGTTACTGGAAACAGGTGGCTATAGTGCTACACTCTGCCCCCAGAGTGAAGAGCTGTAGTTGCCTGTCTGCTATCTGCTGGTTGTAGTAACGCTTGGTAAAACCAAATTTTTTGGGGGTTTTCGTACCAATAGTAGTCTGTAACAAAACAGAGAACTATATGAAAACTCAACAGATTTTTACTGTAATAGTATAAATTCAGGATTTTACTCTTTCTAGGGGAGTTCAGCTTCCTCATGGCCTTGTGAATGAAACTGTTTTTAAGTCGACTGGAACTGTTCCGTAAATTCTGCAGTCTCCTCCCTGAAGGCATTACCCTGAAGAGCCTGTGTGATGGGTGCGTAGGGTCCCTGGTGATTCTGACGGCTTTGCGGGTGAGACGGGTGGAGTACATGTCCTTAATGGTGGGGAGGCTTCTTTGGCAGGAGGCATAATTTCCAAGGTAGATATTTTGTACTGCTTTATTATGTTTTTGTACTCATTTTGCTAAAGATAGAGATTTTATACTTGTTTCTTCTGATACTAGAGTTTTGATTTTATTTTGTATAAATTATTGTTAATTGATCTTGTGCTGTGTGCAATTTATTAATTCTGTTCTGTAACTGGTGATGCAACACTGACATTTCCCCACTGTGGGACGAATAAAGGATCTCTTCATCTTAATTCCAAAAAGTTGTATGAATACTTGTGCATGCCCAACTTTAATTAAATTAATAACTTAATCACATCGTAACAATATATTGTATGATTTTACTTCCACTTCACAGTCGTCTGTTACTTGTGTGGGATTCCAAATTCCAAATAAATGTTTACGTTTAGGGTTGTAAAGCAGATAACATGTGCAAAAGTTCAACGTGTGTTAGGAGTTTAGAGAGGTAATGTACAAGAGAATAATGTTCATGACAGAAATGCAAAAGAGCTGAGTTCTATACAAGAAACCTTTGGGTCTGTGAGTGACCAAAATGAAAATGTAGTTGTTGTTGCGCAATAACTCGTATTGTTGTGTATTTTTTGACATTTGTGTTGCAACCAGCTGACTGCTAAAAGACACATACTTAAATGAAAATACAGGATAAACTTTGATGATGCATTTTGTTCTACTGTCTATGGACTGTTAACCTCAGCCCCAGGGGTCAGTCCTGGGACCTCTTCTGTTCCATCTCTACAGGTCTGTGAACTGTGAAGCACTCTTTTTATGTTGCGCCCAAGAAATAAAAATGTATTGATTAATTGACAGAAGATGCAAATACCCCGCCATTTGTGTTACAAATAACATCAAGGACAGACCTCAAAAACTCATTTGGATAAGTTTCATTTTTGAATATTCAAATTCAGCATAAGAGAAATAAATCACATGCAGAGGCACAGAGGTTTAGACCTAGATCTGATTTAGTCCTGTCTCAGACCTGCTTCAGACCTACTTTAGACCTGGGTTAGGCTTGGTTCAGACCTCACCCTTTTTCTCTTTTCAGGTGAAGATGGATCAGGCGTTGCTGCTGTCTGTGCTGCTGAGTGAGTTTGACGCCTCTTCATTATATTTTTTTAGTTTTTTTCTCTTACATGGTAGTGCTGTTCTCCCTTTACTGCCTTTTGATTTAGTTACACGGTTTCTTGTGAAACACAATTTATAATGGTAGAGGAGACCGTAGACACAGGAAGAACATGCAAACCCCACACAGAAAGGCCCCCATCTGTTTTATAAGACAGGAAAATGATCTGAACAATAGAAGTTTTGTCTGCAAATATGTTCAACTTAAGGAGAGCAAGAACTAACTCCAATATCTTTGAATGATTGATGATTAAACTATGTTATATCTCATTCCATTGACAGATACATTTCACTTCATTAAACCCTGACAAAGTAAGTCATGTCATTTAACTTGAGTAAGATCCTGTTTTTTTGCCTCATTCTTCTCCTTCAGGTCAGTGGTGGTTCTCAGTGTCTCAGTACCATCTCGTAGTTGAGCCCATGTCGTGGTCTGATGCTCAGACTCACTGCAGACAGCACTACTCTTACCTGGCCACAGTCACTGACATGAAAGACGTGGAGGAGCTGAAGGAGGCCGCAAACGGACACACAGACGCCTGGATCGGACTTCATCGGACCAGCGAGAGCGACTTAGACAGGACATGGCACTGGTCTCAGCCCACAGTCCAGTATAAGGAAGAAGAGTCTCAGTGGGGACCCCTTTATTCTCAATCTGGGAGCTGTGCGACCATCGACGAGAACAACCTGTGGCGAGTTGTTGAGTGTTATCAGTCCAGTTGTTTTTTCTGCTACGACGGTGAGCACACTTTTTACTTTAACACTTCACTCCACTTTACTCGGCTCTACTGTACCTAGACTGGGAGTATTTCCACCAGCCCTGTTAACCCCACCCCATTTCAGAACAGGTAGTCCCATATTGCCAGCAGTTTCTGAGGATTTCTATTGATTTTTCAAGACCCACAGAATATTGTGTACTATGACTATCTGAAATCCGAAACCAGATTCCGAAAGAATGGACTGTTTACTTTCATCAGAAAAAAATAATTTTGTTCCAAGCTTGTTTTGTTCCCTGTAATGCCTAGTCGAGTAGAGGGAAGTTTTACTGAAATCAACCGCACTATTTGCTTTGACGCATTTGTGCGTCAATGGCAGACAATGAGTTAACTGGTACCAGGAACTTTGGGCCTTTATTCTAACCAGACCGACCTGGTACTAAAGTGTTCTAGCTGACTGTGATTGGTCGGAGTGCTCCTGGAAGCCACTGGTTTGTTGCAGGTAGGTTGCTAGGATATAGATACTACGGTGCGATGGAAATGCAACCAGTGGAGCCGAGGAGAGTAATAATTCAACATCATAATTTTAATTACAGAAGTTATTGGACTTTTGTACAATACTCTAATTTTCTGAGTTTCACCGGTATATTCTAGCCTGGTCTCACCAAACAATCCTTTTGAACTAAGTAAGGTCTGGATATGCTCAACTGAGCTCTGTTAACAGGTGGGAGGGGTTATCTCCTTTTGCAGATTGAGTGAGTGAGGCATTTAGCATTTAGCCTTTGCCACAAACAGAGCCCGTGGGCAGTAGAGCCACAAAAATGTTGCTAGCAATGACATTTGCTAAACATTCCTCGTGCTCTGGCTTCAATTTCTTGATATTTGGGAGCCGAACCAGAACCTTTTGCATTCCCCGCCATTGCCAAACTACAACCAGCAAATTCGGCGCTAACTCTGCCGCTCGCTGAATGGTCGGAGGGGACACAACCGAGGTAACTGCAGCCACTTGGATCAGAGCCAGATGTACATGTAGAGAAATGCTAATAATGACCAGAGGTAAAGGATGCTAAGGGCAGGCTAAGAATACTCCAAAAATCATAACTTGTCATGTCTAAATGTGTCTGTTGTTCCACAGGATCATCAAACACCATTTTTATGAAAGATAATAATCAAACCATATCGTGGATAAATGCTCAGAAATACTGCAGGACACACCACACAGACCTGATGAGTGGACTGGAGCAGCAAAGACTCTTGAACCAAAGATTCCCAGACCGTAATTTCCAGTGTTATATTGGCTTGTCCCGGGACAACTGGGGCTGGTCGGACGGAAGCGACTCTCCTTTCAGAAACTGGCATGTTTACGTAAATCCAAAGTTTAAGAATTGTGCTGTTCTGATTGATGAGGGCCGATGACATACCAACGACTGTGACAAAAAGAACAGCTTCATCTGCAATGAAGGTACTGTTTGAATTCTAACAATGAAACTTCAAACTGGAACTTTTTGCTTTATAACGAGTCCATAAATACAAATTACATTAACATTTCCCTCTGATCAGTTTGTCATTCTTCTACCTAGAGCAGACCGGGGCTAAGTGTTGACCCCTCCCTGTTGATAACCATCCCGTCTGTTGCTTATTTAAATTCATCAAAAGTCAATACCCACTTTTTAAAACTCATTTTCTCCTACTATAGCATAATGCGCAATTAATCGGTTCTATTCAATGGACCCAAAATTGTATTAGTAATAATGTGATACAGTGTTTTTCTATTTATTCAAATTTAATTGTACATATTATATATTGCACAAAAGAGACTATATTTGTCACTTTAACATGTTGCACATTCTCTTATCTTATCTTGAATTGAATACAAAAATAACTACATGAAACTGGGTCCAGCCGTCCACATTGGGGCGATATCCCAATGTAGAAAATATCTGTCCACCCCTGGATTTGAGCCAACCCTCAGTAGAGTTTGATCTTTCTCTGTACAGAGATAGATCCCACTTTTAAATAGAGAAAATATGTCATCAGAAGCCAAAGCTACAGGGCCTTAGCTTCACAAAGCTGTAAACGATTCTCAAAAGGTTTCAGTTTGAATAGGTTGGTGCGATAAGAAGTTTTTAACAGGCTGACAGGTGACAAGATTGTGACTTGCAGGCTCTGGGCTGGCTGCTCACAAAAAAATATGTATCATGAAAAATTTCAAATCCATAGTTGCCACTGCCGTATGGCGTCATAATATGCAAATTAGATGGGTCAATTTATCCCTAAACTTTGGGCCTCTTTCTCTTATCACATTTTAGCTATAGTCTACATCAATACAGAATTTTCATTTTACATTTTCAGTTAAAAAGCCCAAGAAGACTTTGGTGAAGATGAAAATGTCCTCCCCAGTGGATCTCAACCCATTCAGCCCCATAATACTGCAGCAGGTAAACATGTTGAATGTTTTACAGTTGTGTGTTGGACCCCAAAAATAAATAATAAGCCTTTCTGTTCCTGTCTTGTTCACGCACTGGAAAAAGTGATGAAAAACCATTTTAGCACATTTTGAAAGAAGATTTTCCAATGAGACAAGGCAAAATGACAGTAGCTCAGTTGGTAGTGCACTGGTCTTTGGAATAATGGTCGTGGGTTTGAGCCCACCACGACCCATGTCATCTGTTCCCACTGATGCTTTACTAACATTGTGTTCTTGGGCAAGACACTAAACCCCACATTGCCTGAAGCCTCACAGGTGGACTCACCACCTGCAGAGGATCAGCGAGGGACTGGTGCTTTGAGCATTGGGTGCACCCAGAAATGGAATTCTGGCTGGTTTCTACCCCTTTATGACATGACAACAAATGTCTCCCTTGAAATGAGAAAATAAAGCAGCATTTCTTGAAATAAGGCTAAATGGCTTTGTCCCATCAGCAAATCTTGTTTTGAGACAGTCAGAAAGTACTCAAATTAAGATAAAACCACTTGATGCAAGTATTTATTACCTCATATTTTATCATTCTCAAATGTGTCCTCAAATGGATTTTCCTCATCTTCCTCACTTTTAGAATAGAGCAGAAGAATAGAATAGAACTTTATTGTCTGTTCAATTGAGCAGAGATTTGTCTTTCAACACGGCACATTTAAAGGTCATTCATTAAAACACACTTAAAATACCTCACTTTGCTGGACTCGCTCAGAGCAGACTCGCGTGACTCCGATATCAGTGCTTTTGGCTGATAATGACAGTAGAAAATTGAGTGTAGCGCTAGTTTTTACAAAGAGATTATGAACAAAATGTCAAATTATCATGAACTAACATTTTCTTGTTTCTTCAGCTGCAGGAACATTTGAAAGTGAACCACCTGGGGGACGTCAAACTGACCTGGACAGAAGACGACAACCACTGCGTTTTCAAAAAGGAAAAATCATCTTCACAGAACTAAGATCAGCAATGAGATACTGTATACACTGCAAAAAATGATCAAATAATTGCTTGAATCGAGGCTTTTTTATCTTAATCTGAGTACATTCTGATTGTTGCTTTATTTTCTCATTCCAAGGCAGACATTTCTTGCATCTTTTTAAAACAAGATCATGTTTTGCGTCCCATTGGCAAATCTTGTTTTAAGGCAAAATATGCTCAAATTCAGATATATTTAACCAAAGTTGAGCAATTTGTTGACTTATTTCTCATCACTTTTTGCAGTGTATTATTTCAATGTGTTTTAACTGACTGTTTGTGTCCTGTTCCATTTTCCTTGATTTGTTTAGTCTAGTGCTTATAGGTTTGAGGACAGGATGTCTCACATTACTGTCATTTATCAGAAGCAAGTGTATTTGTGGTTTGGTTTGTGTCTTCCCTCATTTCCGCGCAGTGCCGTGATTATATTTGTTTGTCAAATCATTATTTAAATCCAAACTTTTTAGTGAGAGGGCCACTTTAGTTCACCAGACTAGTCCAGGGGCCGACATCACGGACAGAAAAACTGTACTGACTGGCATCGGGCTCTTCTGAGACTTATGATAATCTATTATAGAGCTGAAGTTGGCTGAATGACAAATGTGTACCATCTCACCAGCAACATTAGCACAATTAACGGAAGTGATACAATCTAAAACCACGTTAGTGCGTGCAAATAAAGTCAACAACATCCTGGGCTTTAGAACAAGGTCTATATTGGCTGAGCTGAAGTTGGATGGATGACAAAGCGCACTTGTGTTTATGATCTCAAAGACTACTTTGGGTTAGGAATGCGAGAGGGCCACATAAAATGACACTGAGGGCCGCAATTGGCCCCTGGGCCTGAGTTTGGACATGCCTGATTTTAATGGGCACTTTTGACTTTAAATGACATCTACATGTTTTATGTGTCCCCAACTTTTTAAGTAGAGTTATTTATTAAATAATACAATGAACATAGTTAGGCTTTTCAAGCAGATTATCCAATCAGAGAGCAGAATGAGGCGCTCATTTGGGCAGGAGGGTGAAGGTGAAGGACTTTTGGAGGGAGAGGACCAGGGACTCCAATGACTTCATGGCGCAGGTGTTAGCATGGAGTTTGCATGTTCTCCCCATGTCTGGGTAGGTTTTTCCTCCGGGTGCTGTGGTTCCCCCTACCTTTCAAAACATGTACAATAGGTCTGGAATGTGCCTCCTGTATATATATATGCGCCAAGAAATGAAAAATTGTAAAGCGCTTTGTGACTCTGGTCTGTGAAAGGCACTATATAAATAAACATTACTTACTTAAATATTACTTCATGACTACAGATGTCAGCGTCACAGACAATAACAGCCCGTTACTTACTTCGAGCGAAAAATTATATTTGCTGTGAAGGTCTCAATAACTACAGATGCAATCTTTATTTTTTTTAATACTCACTGTGACAATTGTACTCGCTAAGCTATAAAATATAATATTTGAAACCCGTCTCTGAGGGCAAACAAGGGTCAGGGGTCGAGTTTATTTTCTATAGCACATTTTAAAAGCAGGCTTGACTGGCCAAACGTGCTTTCCAGACATTACAAAAATAGAGGCACAAAAATAAAATACAGCAAAAAATAAAATAGTGGTTTGCTATTATTTAATTTTAACATGAGTTAAAAGCCAAAGCAAAGAAATGTGTCTTTGGCTGTATTTTAAAGATCTTTACAATGGTCAATAAATATAGGCACAACAATTATATGGTTCTAATGATGATGAACGTTAAGATAAATTATAATTTGGGCAGCAACAGGCCGTTTCACTGAAACAAATCAATCGTTTATAAAGGACTAAGCTCAAATAATAACACTCATTGCTGATTTTTCTTTTTTTTTGAATGGGACAAATATGCCAAAGCTGTGTATCTGTGTGAAGCTGCATTATTTCATTTCTGTCTCCGTCTGACCGAGCCACTGTGTCTTTTGCGAAAGCGCGTGTGCAGCTGTTTCTCTGTATCGGCGAACACATAAAGCCCAAGACGGTCTCACCTCAGCACAAACTTTTGTCTTTGTTGCAGGTTTTCAGATCAACTCTGCTCCGTGTGAACTAAAAGTAGACTAAAGACCTTGAAGTGGCCGCGCGCCTAAATAAGCACAGTTAAAATTGTTTTTTTTAATTATAAATTGCAGTGAGTTGTGAAGAATTGCTAAGTGGTATTTTATCATGAGGCAAAATGTTTTGCCTCATGAGGAAAAGTCAAAAGTGTTTGATCCTTTTTTTAGACTTTGGGATGAAAATATTTGCTAAAAAGAAAACGCAGCTTGTTCCAGAACGCCATTATTCAACTTTTATTTTGTTTTCTTGGCATAAGGTGGAAACAGCTGCAGTCAAAAGCAGAAATGTACTATTGGAAAGAAAGGAGGAGTAGCGGCTCTATCCTAAGCATGTTCAGAATACAGCGCGTACGTGATGGGCGGGGCCTGGGCAGAACAGCACCACACAACTCAGGAGCAAGAGAAGCGGGATCTGCAATATAAGTATGTTTTTATTGTTTTAAGACGGCCATTGTCGGTGTTTGATCCGACTCAAAACCCATGTCTCACCTACTGTACACTGCAAAAAGTGATGAAAAACAAGTCAAAAATTTCTCAAATTTGGCAAAAATATATCATAATTTGAGCACATTTTGACTGCCTTAAAACCAGCTTCGCCAATAGGACAAGCAAAACCATCTTGTTTTAAAAAGATACAAGAAATGTCAGATTGAAATTCAGATTAATTTTATTTGCCATTTGCAGTAAAACCACATTACAATACATTGCAAAATACCCCACTGTGCACCAGACAAGTACATCATTGAAATAAGGTTAAAGGTACAGAAATAAAACAAACTAAAAAAGTGCAGGAAGCAATTGAGGCTGTGAAAACGATCAACAAAAACAGTCTCAACACAAGTGAAATATCAATAAAGTGCTTTGTTTTAAGGAGCAGATCGTGCACGACAGACATCTTGACTCTGCGACATATTTTCATCCATCGAGGGGTCCTGTCTCCCTTCGATTGAAAACATAAAGCAACAGTTCTTGAAATCAGACTGGTCCCATCAGCAAATCAAGACGGAATTTAAACACTCGATTCAAGCAGTTATTACCTCCTATTTCATCATTTTTTGCAGTGTAGTACCAATATCTATAAACGAAACAATCAATGGGATGAGGAAAATGAAATGGCTTATGAAATTAGTAACAGAATTAACCCTATTGTTGACCATAGTTTAAACAAAAATGTGTTTGCGATACTTCTGTACACAATTCTTATCTTTGCAGAGTTTGTAGCGTACAGTTTCGGGTTGCAGTTTTGTCATTCACAAAATCTTTGAATCTAGACCCGTTTTATTCTGAATTAGTCATGGATGCAGAATGTGACTAGGATTTTAATAAAGCAAAATTAACTGCTCTTATTTCCAAAGCATTTCCACTTTTCAACTTTACATACAAATATTTAGCACTTGTCTAATTACTGCTGTTGCAATGAACACAGTGTCTTTCTCCTCACCTGCTCATTCACATAACTACAAGTATGCATGAGGGAACTAGGGCAGACCAAACCGCGGCGGAACTATCCCACACTAGCTAACATGAATATTGTAGGGCGTACAGCACAAAGGAGCTCCACGCACTCCTCCGGTACATGTGGAAGTAGAGCGGCACTTATGCATCTTCACCGCTGGCCTTGTTGAAAGCACTGGCGCGCAGCTGTCTTACACCGGATGGAAGGATACGGGACAGGCCAGGGGGACAAAGGTGCACCAGATGTGAGGCCCCGGGGCAGGATGGAAGACCCCGGAGAGCAGGCACAGAGGGAGGCCAGGATAAATGTATATATAAGTATGAATATCTCAGCATGTGCCACTTGCAAACAAGGAAGTGGCTGTTTGTGGAACTTGATGAACTTTTTTCTAAATGTATTTAATTATTTTATACATGTTTGCCTTTCTTGTGCCAGATTTTTGCAATTCTTCTCTTCCTAATTCTGTGTTCAGACCGGATCATGCTTTGCGGTGAGTTTCAATGCAAAGTTAATGGCGTCGCGGCACGCACGTTTATCCCGCACAGTAGACGCCTTGTTGCGGCAAGGAAGAGGTGGTGGGTACAGCGGCTGGGTGCATGCAGTGAAAACAGAAGATGAACATCCGCGCTCCAACCAATCAGAGAGCCGCAAAGTGGTCACGGGGACATATGCCTTTACAAACAGGAAAATGAACACACTTGAAAACAACCAGAACAGGAGCTAAACCAGGACTAAATCAGGACTGACAATAGATAGATACTTTATTGATACCCATGGGAGAAATTCAGGTGTCCAGCAGCACAAGACTCATCCAGGTTTGTTGTACAGTCTGACAGCCGAAGGAACATAGGATCTCTTTAAACGTTCCGTTCGGAGGCTGTTGCTTCGATTACTCCCGGCCATAGTGTCATGCAGAGGGTGTCTAGAGTTACCCAGGATGCATGCAATGGGGGACACGGCCCTTGTGAACATGTCTTCCCCTCGATATGACATTCTTCTGTGACTGTGAACAAGTGCTGTTAGCGTGTTCGCTGATACGGCTGCCTGCCCTGCGTTTCTCCCAACGCAGGGCAGGACGTCAGATTGACTAAACTCATGCAGCTAAAATGTAGTGAATGTGCGTCTATGCCTCCATCTATGTACTGCACGTCCATGCATCGGCGGTCTGAACACAGCTTTACACAGGCAACACAGGCTGGTACCTTCCTTTGCACCTTTTAAATAGTTTGGTGTGAATTAATGTGTGTTTCAAAGGATAAAAATTAGTAAAATGTATTTACAGAATCAGTTTGACAGATGGCTTTGAGCACCAACCAAGAAAATAATTAAGCAAACCTCCCTTGTGGTTTGACTGTGGTTTTACTGTTTTCTGCCACTTCTATATCTAAATTAATTCATCATTAGAAGTTTCACATTCAAGTTTTTCTACACTTGGGCTGCCATTCACG